CGACAGGCGGCTTTCATCACATCACTGAGGCTGAGAGGCTGATGCTGAGTGTCCCGGGGCCACACATGTCAGACACAACTTCCTGACACTCAGACCAAGATAGAAACTCAAGATAGCTCAGAACATGACACAACACAGCAAGATACAAACTTCTGCTTTGGCAGGAGATAACTGGAGCCTGAAAGATTTATTGATGTAAGGGAACTCTGAGGGTTGATGATGATTTAAGGAGKAGGAAAATGCATTAAAGTGTGAAAACAGGCAGAAACAGCAGGATAAACAGCTGTTAGTAAATGAGTTTTATTATTTTACTGTCACTGATCTTTATATGATGATGACACTTTGATTTATATGAAGTATGGAGATGCTGTCTGTGTGAGGTGGGAGAAATAAATCTGATATTTTTATTTGTTTTCAAATGTTTACATGGACCACAACTCTTCAGGTCACTGGAGTCATACATATTTAATAAATTCATAATATTTTCCTTCTCACACAGATGTACATATAAAGTGTTTAATTAATTTTGTGATTAGTCACTTGAAGCTTTTTAATTGAACAAAGCTAACAGGTGAAATGTGAATGTATTATTTTTGTTTGTTTATGAACACTGATCAGATTTTTTGAACCAATCAAATGTTAGTTCATAGCAAACATTTGGTATTTAAAAAAATGATGTAAAGATGCATAWAGTTAAAAAAATATGAAACGTGTTTCACGTTATAATTATAACATAGTTGCTTAAACTAATGCCAACATTAAAATAACATGTTGAATTTTAGTCACATTGAAGTTGAACATATCTGATATTTATACATTTTTGACACATGTTTTAACCAAAATATTGTTGCTCTAATACAAAAACCTTGTATCTCAGTTACTTTGTAATTTTTCTTTTTGTGCATAAATCAACTTCAGTGATCACTCTGTGGTTTTATGGATAACTAACAAATAAGAAGTGTTCAGCTCAACTCAACTTTATTTATAAAGCCCTTTAAGACAACCACAGCTCCAACAAAGTGCTGTACATATATAAAATC